TGTTCCAAGTAGGTGCTTTAGACCACTGAGCCATCTCACCAGCCCCAATGTGTTAATTATTGAAACTGTCCTATCAATTTGGTTTGAAACTGTCTCATTGCTATTTGTTTCTCAATAAAATTATGGGAAAAAAAAAGAATATGAATACTTTGAGGCTTTTTGTATTTACTGCCAAGTTGCTCTCCAGAAAAGTTCTAGGTTACATATTAGGAACAATTTGAATGCCCTCCCACCCTTTTTTGATCTGGGATGTTAAAAACACAATTTAGAAATTTAATTTTGAAAGTAATCAAATAAGTAACGAGAGGCATATTCTTCTTATGTTATTCATTTAATACATGTCTTTTATTCTCTTTGCTTTGTAGTTTTCTTTAATTTTTTTAATGTCACTGTTCCTTGGTTTGCTGCCACTTTATTCTATTCCCAAATAGAGACCAAATGAGAGGGTGGACTCTGCACCAGAAAGACCAAGAGAAGAGGCAGTGCTCAAAGATGCTATCCCGGTGAGTCTTTGTTGGCTACTATCTCACCAGAGGTGGGGTTGAGAGGGAGGGAAAGCAAATGATGAAATTACAACGCAGTGTATTATTGTAATTCCATGCTTCTTTTAGAAATAACACTGAGGGCTGGGGACATAGCTCAAGGGTAGAATTCTTGCCTAGCATGCATGCTGCCCTGAGTTCAATTCCCAGGACCCCCCCCCCAAAAAAAAAAAAAAAAGAAAGAAAGAAAAAAGAAATTAAACAGATAAATCTTGGAACTGGTTGAAGTAGATATTAAAAAAAGAAGAAGTAACTTTTTACGGTTAGGCATGGTGGTGCACAACTGTAATGCTAGCACTCAGGAGGCTGAGGCTGGAGGATCACTGTGAGTTTGAGGCCAGCCTAGGCTACATAGCGACACTCTTGTCTCAAAAAAAGAAGCAAACTGGGGAGATAGCTCAGTAGAATAAACATTTTCCTGGTAAGTGCAAGGGCCAGAGTTCAATCCCTGGTTCTGAGAAAAAAAAAAAAAAAAAAAAAAATCAACATCAAAAAAGAAGCAAAAACAAAAACAGTAGATATTTTCAGTAAATTATTTTCCCTTGAAGAACTATATTTTTATTGATCATGTGAATTTCAGGTGCCATATCAACAATTGGGCAACAGAAAACAGTTCTGTTTTTAGTACTGTAGTACTGTATTTGGGATAGGGGTTCTTTTGCTTCCTCCTCTCTTCTGTCTTGCTGGTTATAGGTACAGATATCAAAGGTAAGTATAATTAAGATAAATTTTACATTGTTCACATTTTTAGTGTATGTAGTCTAAGGTTTGTTTTAGTTCACTTCTGATGGAGTTTTGTGAACTTTCCCCATAGATTCAGCCAATACTGTCTTCTGCCCCAACCACAGAAGTGACCACTGGTGTTAAGTTTCAGGTTGGCGATCTTGTTTGGTCCAAGGTGGGAACCTATCCTTGGTGGCCTTGTATGGTTTCAAGTGATCCCCAGCTCGAGGTTCATACCAAAATTAATACAAGAGGTAAGAAATATTATAAGTTGATATTAAGTAAAAAGTTAGCAGTAAAGAAAACTTTCAAATGTTATGTTATGTGAATATAAGAATAAGTCAGCTGTGGTGCCATACACCTGTAAATCTCAATACTCTGGATGGCTGATGCAGGACGATCTCAAGTTCCAACTCAGCCTAGGCAGCTTATTGACTTAGTAAGACCCTTAGTAAGACCTCAACATAAAAAAGGGCTAGGAATGTAGCTTAGTATAACAGTCCTACACTCAACTCCTAGTATCCCACCACCACAGACAGATATTACACATGTAATATATAATCTCACACAAAAATGTGGATATCAATATCCATTTTAATAACCACTGAAGTTAATTTTGTCATCTTGTTATAGGAAGCCCCTACAACTGGTGTTTTCCCTTATAATAGCATTTAGTTGCAATTTCTTTCCTCCTCTGTGTGTGTTGTGTGTGAGTGTGTGTGTGTGTTTTGCTGGAGATTTGACATTATTTCATGTATTCCAAGTGTTGAGTTCCTTTCTCATCACTGAGACACAATACCTGACACAACTCCAAAGAGGAAAGATTTGGGCTGTTTGTAATAGTTTCAGTCCATACTCAGCTCTAAGTTCCAAGACAAGTGGCCTGGTAGAGGGGGCCTGCTTCTGGTAGAGCAGCAGGAAGCAGAGAACAGTCAAGGAATAAGGGAGAAAGAGGGACTCTTTCCAGCCACACCCCAGACCCACCTTCTCTGACCAGGCTTCACCTCCTAATGTCACAGTTAGCTTTCAACTGTTCTTGTCACCTCCCAAAACCCCACATAAGAACATACTGAGTTTTGAGAGGATATCTAGATATAATCTACAATACCAGGCAAGTGCTTAACTACTGAGCTACATCTCTGGCCGCACACTTCCTTTTGTAAAGACCTTCATCTGACTGACTTTCATATTTCCTAAAGAAAGCTTATGAATATGTAATGTCTTATATGAGCTTTATTAAGGTCCAGCTTTAATTTCATCACTGAATCCTATGGATAGAAACCTTTTTCTTTTTAACCTAGTTGAGCACTTTTTATTCTAATAAATTTTACAGGGCTTTTTTTCTCTTCCACTCTATTTTTGAACCTATATTTCCTGTGGCATCTGTATAGATTTGAAATGACAGAAGTATAGCTTCAATCTAGCTATATATGGCATAAGATCTTACTTTAGCAATGTTAAATGTTAAGAAAAGATGTATTCAAACTTTTTTCTTTTATTTTAAACTTGTTTACTGTTTTGGGGGAAGAGTGTTACTTAAGTCTAATGAGTCAAATTTGTGAGAGGATCAGCCTTTCTGTGGCACTTTGACTGCATAGCTAGGAGTCCTTGTCCTGCCTCTTTATCACATGTGGACTGGTCTCTCTGGAATATCAAGCAGCTCTAATATTCTGTGGTTCTATAAGTGGGAAGAGAAAGGATAGGACCCTCTAAGAGGCCAAATCTTATTAAATGAAACAATTTTTTGCCCATATGTGAGAATCCAAGCTTATAGAGAAATTGTATCATTTAAAAATTGTAGCTCTTCAGTTCTTTTCCCTCAGGAAAGCATTCTTTTGAGATTAAATAAAGGTTTCACATTTAATTACTTTATGAGAACCTGTTAATTTTAGCTTTTGCCCGAGATACAAATAAAAACACAAATTTACGTTTCATCTGTATTTTAAAGGAAGTATTTAAATTTGATTTGATTAATTATTCTTATTTGGTACCCCACAGGTAATCTGTACTTTAGGGCTGGAAGATCTAATTAAAAAAAAAAAATCACTACTGGAAATACGAGAATTTAGGTTAAGAATATGTGTTTTGATAAAAAAAATTAAAATGTTGTTTTTGTTTTTAGTCTTTTGAAAAATAATAGTTGGGCTGGGGAGGTAGCTCAGCAGTCAGCGCCTGCCTAGCAAGTGCAAGAACGCAGGTTCAATCCCCAGTACTGCTGGCCCCCAAACTGGGTGTGGTGGTACGTGCCTATAATCCCCATGCTGGGAAAGCTGAGATAGGAGGATCTCTATGAGTCTGAACTATGCAGCGAGACCCTGTATCAATCTATCAATCAATAAATAATGAAAATAATAGTCATGCTGAGATTTTTTCTTTTTCTTTTTTTGGTACATTTTGGATACGTATAGTAATAACTTTTATCATAGAGAATTTTTTTTCCTAGTTCTCATCTTTTTATTTCTTTAGAACAAGAAAAACCACCGTATGTGGTGGCACTCTGGAGACTGAGGCAGGAGGATCATAGGAGTTCGAGACCAGCCTGGGCTACAAAGTGAGCTCAAGGCCAGCCTGAGTTGCATAGTGAGACTCTTGTCTCAAAAAGACCAAAAAAAAGGAAAAACCACAGCTATTCCTTCTCCCTCGTCCACTTGGAGACCTAGAGTCTTCCTGAGTTCTCTTCCTGAGTTTATCATAGAGAATTTATACCTGTAAATAGAAGGATTTTTTTTAAATACCTGTACATATCTTTTTTTCTTGCTCCCCTCCCCTTCTTCAACCACTCTTCCCTTCCTTATTTACAAAAGCTTTGTGTCCATTTTTCCATTTTCTTGTACTTTGAGTGGATCTTAATTTTGTAATATCTTGAATTCATTGGCCATTTAAAAACTTTCTGAGTCATATATAAGTAGCTCTTTCAAATGTTGATGCATTGTCTTATAGATAATCTTCTAAATCACATTAGTTCAATGTCACCACTTGTTTCCTTAGAAAATTCTTCTATTATTGGGAGGCTTACTAAGTCAAAAACTTTCGTCAGAATTTTACAAAATTTTGCCTAAAAGTATTACTGGCAATGAATAATATTTTCCTTGAAGTAAAGAAAAGCTTATTGTTTTTGATGTTGTTGTTGTTGTTTTGTTTTGGCGGAATAGGGGGTTGAACTCAGGCGCTTGTGCTTGCCAGACAAATGCTTATTCTACTGAATAACCATAGTTCTTATTTCAGACATATTTCCTAGTAAAATGGTGTTCCATGAAAAAGTAACTGGCTCACTGTGTCACTCAGTCACTCTAGCCCTTCCCCCTACGACAGCCGTCATACTTTGTGTGGACCAGGGTTTTACTAGATCCTCTCTTTCACCACACAGAGTGCTAAAGGGACATGTACTCAAGGCTCAAGGCTTAGGGAAATTAGTAATTCTTACTGCTTCATCAAGGACAGTAGATAATTTTTAAGTGTCAGTTGACAGCTTTGAAAAATATAGTGACAGGGTTATACTTTGGTGCATTCATTCTATCTCCATTTAGTGAAGGATGCCAGCAGTATTTTTAAAATGTTATTTTATTTATTTATTTATTTATTTATTCTTGAGATGGGGTCTTGTTATACAGTGCAGACCAGTGTTGAACTCAGTATATATCCCAAGCTGCCCTCAAACCTGCAGCAATCCTACGAGCCTCACCTCCTGAGTGCAGGGACTACATACAAGGTGTGCCACCTTGCTCATTCACCAGCAGTCTTATCTGCTGTAGCTTTTGTTACTGTTAAGTACAGATGTCAACATAATAAGAAAGACCAGTGATACATACATACATATATTTATTTATTTTTTTTAATGTATTTAGCACAGAGTCTACAGGGTCTCACTATATAGATCAGATTCATAGTGATTCTCCTGTTTTCAGCCTCCCAAATGCTGGGATTACAAGTGTGCGCCACCATACCCAGTCTCAATTGCAGCCTGCTCAGTGCACCCCAGGGGAGGGGCTGGCATGGCACGCAGGGGCTCGAACCTGGTCACTGCGCTCTGCCTAAGCAGACACTTTAGTCTACTGAGCTATCTGGCTGGCCCTGATACTTTGATAATGTTATGAAGACAGTTTTTTTTTTTTTTTTTTAATTTTATTTAT